GATGAACGCCGCCAGGGAAACGGAGCAATGTGTTCTTATAAGGAGCTGTTGGCGATTATTGTCCAATGGGTGTTGCGGGAGCACAGCTGCAGATGGTATGACTCCCGTGATATTGCGCTTGTTGCCAATTAAACTGGGAATTATATAAGGAAGGCTAGTAATGGCGACTGGGCGATTAAGAGCAACAGGTGAAAAGGAAAGAAGGGATACGCCATCAGTAGCATCTTTTTGCTTATCTGCTCTGCTATATGCAGCAGGTAATGCGACCGTTGATAACCTGCGCGACATCCGATGCAGAATATGCTTTAAAAAAGTAGTCCTGGTTGTACGTGAGCTGTGATACTGCTAGGACTCCCAAGCATAAGCAGGAGAACGATTAGAGTCCTCGCCAAAGGCTTTGGCTCAAAAGCCTGTCCGCAAGGCAGCGGGGAGGTGGCATTGGTTTAGTTTTACTGCAATGGACGCCATCGCATTTCAAACCCCCATTCTTGGAGGACCAAGTGACTGGATTCGTCTGACCTCTAACAATTAACCAACCTGGTAGGAGTAGCTATCAAGATGCCCAAGGGCCTCACCAGGTATAGCTCAATGAGTCGACGAGGTATGCCAACCGTCACACTACATTAAAGCCGTCTCGTTGTGATGGACGCTTCTAAAGTCTGGTTATCAAATGATGAGGGAATTTTCTATCAATTTCGGATCTCCACACACTACTTGCTTGTCGTACTATAATGAGTCCTAACAACTGAGCTCACCGCGTCTCGGTTCTTGGGTGATATTTGTCTCACAGGAAGAAGTGAAACCTCCTCCGAAAGCCCATTATTTCATTGGGAAAGCGATCAGGTCTTTTCTAGCGTTTTCACCCATCACGTGGCCTACGTTGCATGTGTAGCTTTCTCATTGGCCAAACCTAACTGAACTACCAGCTATAGCAGCCGATCTAGTTATTTGAGACCATGGACATTCCTGGATTGACATATCCGTGGATTTCCGCACTACTTGCATTCACTTCACTAGATGGCCCTGTAACACGCTTTCGCCTCGTGCCATTATGTTATGATTTTGGCTGAAATTGGGAGTTTGGGGAGTACGAAATCTGTTTATCAATGATCATAAAGGGATTGGAACATATAACAGCTGAACAACTGAATTCAGTTCTCCGTATCAGTAATTTGCATCGCGCTGTCCTTTTTGCTATCTAGTGTGTTTAGGCTGCTACCTCCGCTCTCTCTGAATTGCAGCTTGAAGTAAACCACATTGCTTTCACTCAGCTGGACCGTATCAGAAACGAGTGTTTTTCATACTATCCGCCCCATCTATTGTGCGAATTCCATTCGTTTCCACTTTCATTCGTCCACGCTTCACAAAGATCCACCACACAGATCGTCGTACTCCGGAGGATCGCCAATGTACGGTGGCAACACCGTGTGCTCAATGATATTCTCACGCAACGCGTCTGTGGCAAAACTAATCTCCCTCTCCATGAGCTTGTTCTATTACGTCAGTTGAGATGGCTTGGCGATGTCCTGCTCATGCCTGACGAGCGAAAACCACGCCGCGCCTTATTTGTGCGTACAGTGCTGCATTGGAAGACGCTGCGTGGTGGCCAGCCGACCACTTAGTGTCAAAGCATCAAATTGCTCACATCCTGTCTGTCAATTGCTGGTCCGGTACGCCTTCCTAGTTGGGGGCCGAAAGATGGAGAATGCCGATGACTTACAGCACTGGAAACAATGGCACAAAACCGCTTGCGGTGGGACCGATGCGTAAACCCGATTCCCAAAGCAGTAACCTTAAAAAAGACAAAGCTTGCAAAATTGAAAAACGGCTTGTGTTAAAAGACAAAAATGTTTTTATTATTTGTGCATTCCTTTTTGCTACCTTTGTACACATTCTTGTTACTAGTTATATTTCCAACCTTTTAAATGGCTCAATGTTTTCATAACCTGTTACATATATATATATATATATATATATATATATATATATATATATATATATATATATATAATGGTGGACAGGGAAGGCGAAGCAGATGAAATGCTACGCCGAATGCCGTCAACACAAGGAATTCTTTGACTCCTTGAAGGCAATGTGTGGACCGCGGTTGGTGCCGCTGAGGACGCTGCTCGATGGCAGCTCAGGCACTACCTGCACACAGACTGCAGACGTAATGTAAATCGGGAGAAAACACTAACTGTCTCTTGAACAACCGTTCAGAGGTGGATTGGTTTACTTTGAACGGCCTGAAGCATCAAGATATGAAGGCGAGTCTGGCGGACACATCGACACTGGATGAGACGCAGAGAACACTTGCTCAGCTGCGAAACGGCAAGTTTACCGGGGCCGACGGGATCCCGCCTGAAGTATTGAAACACGGCGGACCCGCGTTGTTGACTGCGCTGCACCACTTGGTGCAACGCCTATAGATTGTTTAGGAGTTATCTTCTGAGCTGAAGCGTTCTCTTGTGCTACCACTGTACAAAGGCAAAGGAGTCAAACAATTCGCCACGAACTGTCATGTTATCAACTTGGTGAGTTGTGTGGGCAAGTTGATCGTCTGAATCCTATTCAACCGCCTCGTCAGTTAGCTTGTGGAACCTATCGTGCCGGAAGATCGGTAAGGATTCCGTTCGGGTCGCAGCACTATAGATATAGTGTTTGCTGCTCGTCAGTTGCAACAGAAGGGTAGCGAATGACACCGGTCGTTTTACTCGCTTTTTGTTGATTTTACCAAGGCATTTGATACGGTGAACCGCGAGGCATTGTGGCTGGTGTTGGGTAAGTTTGGTCACCCGCATAAGTTTGTAAGTTTAATTGAATGTCTGCACAATGGTATGCGGGCGAGGGTGCAGGTGAGTGGAGAGACCTCTGATGACTTTGCAGTTGTCTCTGGTGTGAAGCAAGGTTGTGTCTTAGCTGCTACTCTGTTAACTATATATCCTCATGCAATGATCTCTTGTGCTTTTGATACGGCTTGTGCTTACGGTGTTCGTGTGGAGCACCGTATTGACGGTGTGTTGTTGAACATCCGTCGTTTCGGTGCGAGAACTCTAGTCTGTGGACAACTATCCGTATGTTGCTGTTTGCTGACGACTGTGCGTTGCTTGCACACAGATTGGATGAGTTGCATCATGTGACTAGTGCTCTGACTTCGACAGCGGCCAAATTCGGGCTCACCATCAACACAAGCAAAACTGTCTGTCCCTTTCAGCCTTCACCGGAGGTGCAATCTTCGATATTGCCGCGAATCAGCATTGGTACTGAAGTATTGGAAACCACCTCCCGCTTCTGCTACCTTGGGAGTGTGATGTCGACTGATCAGCAGCTACACAGTGAGCTGCGTATCCGCTGGTCGAAGGCAGCGGCGGCATTCGGGAAGCTTGAGTACCGAGTGTGGAACAACTATTAGCTTACCATTGACACGAAGCTGATGGTGTACAAATCCTTGGTGTTGTCCATTCTTCTTTACGGCAGTAAAACGTGGACGATGTACCGGCGGGGTGTGCGATATCTCGAGCGGTTCCATCAGCAGTGTTTGCGACGGATTTTGCGCATCGGTTGGGGCGACAGTGTTGCTGGCACGGAAGTGTTGCGACGAAGTGGGATGTATGCAGTGGACTGCATACTTTTACTGAGACACCTGCGGTGGCTAGGTCATGTGAACCGTAGGGATTCGATGCGGATACCGAAACAACTCTTATACGGTCAGCTGAGTCTTGGGAAGTGGCATGTGGGGAAAGCAAAATTACGTTACCAGGACATGAATAAAGTGAGCCTCTTACGTTCTAATCTTGATTGCAGATCATGGGAATGGAAGGCGGTTGATCGGCGTGCATTGCGCGATCTAATCACGAAGGCAGTTGCCGAAGTGCGGGAGAATGACCTCATACATGCAGAGAAGAAGCGGCAAGCACCGATGGGTTGTACTCCATTGACATCGAGCGCATGGTGCTGTAGCACATGCGGTCACGAGTGTCTGAGTCAGGCAGGCCTAGTGAGCCATGAGCGAGGCCACTCGAGACCACTAACGAAGCGACGACGGGTCCTGCAGAGAACGTAGGCAGAACCGGTGCAGCGTTTGCAGGTACGCTGCATTCGATTTACTAACCGCGTGCTTGCATGCTGAGTCTCTTTATTTCAGGTGGTGGATTTGTAATTTCGTCCTAATGCTTTTCTTTCTCATATACATGTCTATCAGTACTCTCTTCTATAAACTTGCACACGTCGCTTAAGCCAATTGAAGTTAATTTCGATAACATTTTTGTGTTTGTGGCGTTTCTGTAAAACATACTTTCTGACCTCGTGAACTTATCTCGGATTCGTTTGTAAACAACTTATTTCATATGCTCATTAATTTAAGATTTAGGTCATCGTTTCCTTATACATCACTCGATTTATTTTATTTGTTGTCTTTCACTCAACTGATTTGCTGTTACTTGATATCCCCGGTGTGGCTGTGCTTGATGTGCATGTTGACAAGGTGCCTGCCTGTCTTTTACCCACTACCTCGTCCATACTGGCCCTAGGAGACAGTTGGTCGTTGCTGAAATGGACAGGGTACACGGTCCTTGTGGTCGTCTTAGGCTCGAATATTGGTTCCCTGCACTCAGTGTATAGCGACCCAAATTCCATGCACTGCTTTGTGTGCGTTAGATTCCCCAAATACAGCGTGCTTGTGTTTGGCGGTGAAAGAGTGTGGGTCGGCTCCGTTGATGAAACGTGGCTCCCATCCACATGCCTCTCGGTCTTATTCCTTCGGGTTTACACTGGATATGGGGTGTGAGGATGGAGCTGTGGATGGTGCAGTGCAAGCCCCCCATGGTCTCTCTGTAGGCGCAGGCGTCCTGTGGCTGGTCACAGTGGCATGCCAATCCGAAACCAGATGCCGTCAACCATATATATACTCCGGATTAAATTCAGTGTGTCAATGAGCGATACACTGGTAATCTTCTAACTTAACGAACTAATCGTATGTTTCTGTCGCACATCTTGTTTCAGCCCACTGTCAATTACTTGATATTAAAGCATGTGTCTCAATGATCCTCTTATCTCAAAATGTCGTTTATCTATCGGAAGTGATTTGCTATCCATTGGCGATTCCTTCAAACTAGTCGGCAGAATAATTGATCTGTTGTTGTATGAAGCTGGACAGTTTCCCGACTTGGTCCTTATGCAGAAACCTCGATCTGCATACGAGCACTTGAGAACTCGCAAGGTTTGTTTCACTTTGAATTTCGCAACATTTCACTCTCCTTAGGAACCCGCTTCGCGAAAGGCTGTAAGGTTCCTCGACTCGCTCTATGAAATCAAATGTAATTTGATCAGCCTATCAGTTTCTGTATCCTACTTTCTAATTCTACTGGGTGGCGTCCCTTCTCATCCGAAACGCGCGTTCTTAGTGGATTGTTCCAAATCAACTTCGAGCACCGCTTCTGTCAACACGTGCTTTGAGTCTGTGATCTGCCATTTTTTTCGTACCTTCATGCAAGACCCTTTCTCCCATGCAGCGTTTGAGGAACTCAAGCCATGTCGGATTTATTTTTATTTGTGCATTTCCGAAGTCAATCTACCCATCTGGTTTTTACCTAGACCGCATTTCCATCTTTCCAAGAAGTGTCCGGTCCATGTGTTGCAGCTGCTGACGGACTCATGTCACTCAATGCTTTTGGACGAACATGAAGTCGATTCAAATCTGGCCGAAGTGAAACAGGCGCTGTACGAGCACCCTGGCGGTATAATGTGGTACACTTCTCCTCGCACTCTGGATGGGTTCGCTGATTGTTTACCTTAACCTCTGTATTAACTGTGAGCTAATGTGCTCGTGTAATCTATGCTATGACTCTGTACATTGTATGTATATATCTACGTTGTAACATTTGAACTAGTGTTAGCAACATCGGCTTCATTTATTGTTAGTGGTCGTTTGAACAATCCGTTCGTCTCTGCTTCCCCCATATTTTTCCATCAGTCTGATTCCGGTGATTTCGATATGGCCTTTCTTCAGCGACTTCAGCATATCATACACCGTGAGTGCTGCCACAGTCACTCCAGTGAGCGCCTCCATCTCCACACCCGTAGATTGACCGACCGTTTTGGCAGTGGCTTGAATCCACACGAACGGGTTTTCAAACCAAAGCGAAACCGAGGCATGTGATAGAGGCACCTGAAACAAAGAGCATGGTTTTTTTATCATTGTTATGTTCACGTATTTGATTCACAATTCCTCAAAGCACTGTTTGTCCATCATAATTTCTCGTGGATGCACGTGGTTACTAGTTTCCCCACATATATGCCTTTAATACCCTATGGTTGAATGGTGATTTTGGAGCGCTGGTGTGAGTAAGTTGAAAAGCAATTCAGCCGACCCAGTGTGCCGGAATTGTTAGATGGGGCTCCGACGAGAACCCATACAATCTGGTGCTGCTACGGAGGCGGAACAAAGCGTCTCACTCCGGCCGTTTTTCTCCTTGCCATAGGGCGGCAGTGAATCACTAATGACTATATTAGTCATTCAGTTCGGTTACATTCTTACAATAAGGAAGTATCTTCTCACTCGCAACTATCAGTCATAGTTCCTGTCTTTCGAATAAGCTAAGCGACTTCCTATGTAAGCCGTCTTGGCATCAATCCTATCTTAATGCTTTACAAGCTACTGTGCACGGGATCGTGCTACGTTGGTTTACCAACTCACTTTGGGAACGAATCAGTTGATCTTAAACTGGCTCCCATCTCGGTAGAGGACACATCGACCACATCCTCACGCTTCGCTGCGTACCTGGATGTCATTATGCTTACAAATAACTCCTCGTCGTGATCCTTGACTTGAGAGCTGCATTTGATTCAGTTGATCGTATATTTGTGGCGATGCTTTACTTGGAAGAGTGTGCCTGATAAATGTGTATCTACACTAAAATCTCTACACCACTACTCCCTGTACTGTGCGAGGGTTTACGAGAAACTCTGAGTTCTACACTACAAAGCAGCGCATCATAATTGTCCCGTCCTCTTCTTTCCACCTTTCGTGATTCAACTGAGGAATAATTCTATTCCACTCCCTTCCAATTCTGCAGGAGTAATAGCATTGTTGGGTGACCGATCGTCAACCCTAGAGTATGCAGATGACATAACTCGCTTTGAGTTGAACCCAGCTGATTTGCGAGCGGGATTTTATGGGTTTGCGCTTCGGCATGGGGCTAACACCATGAAAACACAAAGTATTGCCACAATACTGGGTCGGCACGCCACCAGTGTTCGCATTCATGGAACAGCCGCTCAACTTTATCGATTGGTTTCTTATTTATGTAGCTGTATCACCTCTGGTCGTCCTATCACCGGAGCCTACTAAACGACAAGGCTCGTATTGCTTTCTACTGCCCAGGCTGCTTATGGATACTCGTGGATATAGGCTTATTTGTCAAACCCGATTTGTTTACAGTGCTGTGGTGCGACAAGTGTTGCCATATGGATGGGCACTTAGTGGCTGCGTACTGTGAACCCCGGAAGACTGACCTTTTCTTACCACTGATGCCTGTACAGCGTTGCTCGGGTTTGGTGGGAAAACCGTGTGTATTGTGCTGAAATTCCCTATCTGGTATTAGACAACGGACTATTCGCCGCTTCTGTTTTGAGGATCATTTTGAAGTACACGTTGTGTGGATGGATTGCGATACGTCATCTCGAGGTTGGCCGCGATTCCCATTGAAGTGAACCTTGGTCTTTCGATCACGAGGACCGTAGCTGAAGCATATAGAAATCGATTGTTGCCCGCACGTTAACACTGCACTCCTATGACGCGTTTCGATGTTAGCTTATCTCTATCTGATGAGATGAAATAACATCGAAACGCGTCGTGGTTGTGCATTGTTTTCGGGCGGGCAACACCCAATTTCCTTTCAAGTCAAGCCAGTAGAATATGTGTGGAACTCGATTCACCCACAGCGGCTTCGTCATGTGTTCTGTATAAGTGTTTTCCGACTGTCTCAGCTTTTGTTGTTGTTGTTAGACAAATCCCCGTGGTTTTCAATCGATGACATAGCAATAGTGTCCGAAGCAATTTATCGTATAGAATAAAGTGGGTTGATGTTCATCGGTTTTCTTTATATCAAATCTGGGATCGCTCATACCAGTGCTTGCTCTATCGAATATGGCGCAAACACGAGGCCTGATGCTCTTGCATTCACTCTGCCTTAAATGCTTCACTTAATTTTGTTTCTTGCTCCACATGAGCCAGATGGAATGTGCACTGCTGACGATTCCCGAAAGGATAAACGGTCGTACAGTACTTTTATGGACATATGATAGCTGTCTGAGTCTGGATGTGATGAGCTTTTACGTATAAATTGACTTTATTGTTATGATCTTGGTCGTTATCCAATGCAACTTTTTCCACCGTACTTTGGTGCATGATTCTTATTTGCAAGCCGAACCGGAACTGTCATGTAGGTTAATTTGCAAACTTACGATCGAACTCCGATCCGAGGATATACTGCTTGAGGCTTTGTGGTCCGTGACTACCTTTCTTGGTATCATGGTATTATTTGACTTGATCGAGCTCTATTTTGAGGAGATGCTCTTTTACCTTAGAAAAGCATTCCGTCTGATCTCGCTTTTCCCTGACTTCCGCGTTACCGTGCATTTTTGGCATAATGATTAGCACGCCCCAAAATCATCCTATTTTTCTGTTCCCTTTCTTCCGCCGGTGGCCCAAGCTCTGAAGCGTCTGCCTTGTAGCTCAAAGATTGCCGGATCGAATCTTCGTAGGTGCACACCACTGGTGGTGGTTCCGTGGCAGTGAAGCGTCGATACGGCGCACTACTGACGTCTGCTTTCGCAAATTCTATGTTGGACATTTTCCCTAACCTTTTGGGGAGCATTAATATCGAATTCCCCACTAAGTGGGACTGACTAGTTAGGACTGTGCGGTCGAAATCTTGTTCTGACATCAATGGACCCTATGATTCGGAATAATTTATTCAGATTTTCAAAACGCGATGCTACTCATGTGCTTCCAAGTCCGAAACTACGAGCTAGAGGAGGTCGCTCAGTTGTGGTGGGGAGTAGCGAAGTAAACAAATGATTTTCCGCATTTTTTTTTCTCCGGCTCCAGAAGCATGTCTTGCTCAACTTCACTGGTGGTTTGTACGGCGTTTTACCCTGTGGTTGCAGGTCTACATATAAGTCTGGAGACCTCATACTCCTTACAATTATTGCTCTCTAGTGACTAGTACCACTATTCGTGTCGAACTGGGTTCGGGTGACGGAGTGCACAGACAGACACTGCGTGATGCAAATCAACGTTACTCGCTGTGTGCACGAAAGAACTGAGCGATCTTCCATGTGCAAACCACCTACTGCTTCCACCGGCCTTTCTTCTTCTTTTACTCCCGAATGGCGCGGTTTGCTTTGGGATAAAGCGTCAGTTTTTCGGTGCAAACACATCAATCAGCGGGCTGTAACCGCTACCCCGCTGTCCTTATTGACAGAGCTCCTACTGTATACCGTTTTTGGTAGAGGAACTTAGGAGGTTCAATGTCTGTTCGTTTTTGGTCCCATTGTGAGCCTTCGGTGTGCTTACTGAATACTGCGAATAGAGAGCGAGACAACAATAATCTGTGTTGCTCTATCATGGTTGGATCTGGCACATGCGCGGAATCAAGTCACTGATTCCTGCGCGGTGGCAGCATATTGCAACTGCACTACATCTTATCGGGGTACGATGCGCTCCCTATACATGTAGTCCAGAAAGTGGGCGTCAAGTAACCTCTTGAATCCCAACCATCGCGATGAGACTGTACATTAACGTGGTACGATGGTTTGGGTGTCTCAGTGATCCATTGAGCTATGCCAGGTGGTGCTTTTTTGCACCTTCAGAGCCACTCATACCAGATTGGTCAATGATTAGAGGTCTGACAAACTCAGTCTTCTGACCCTCCCGCTTGGGGGTTGGAGTGAGGGTGGCTCGTTACTCCATAAAACGGACTCTCTGTAGTCCACTGCCGAAACCCCGCCACCTTGCGGTCAGCTTTTTGAACCAAAGGCTTTGGTTGAGAACCCTAATCGTTCTGTCTAGGCCTGGGCAACCTGACTATTCTGCACACGCAATACATTGAGCCTTTCTCCTAACAATTGATGCTCTGGCCGTCGCAGAGGATAATCAACGGCGCTCTATCTGCTGCATCCAGTAGGGTGGCTAAGGTTTGAATGCTATTTCTCAGGCCTTATCATCTTCTTATCCCCTGCTTGCGCTTTTTCATTGTTATCGTCCCGCTCCAACTTTACTTTTATCCCGCCCATTTTCAATCCCCCAATTCTTGGCCCTCCCCCACCTTGCTTTAATAGTCGCTTGTCTTATAGTTTCAATTCACACACAGTGGCAGGGCATCGCTCCAATCCAGTCGACAAGTCCATGTTCAATCAAGTGGACAACGTCGGTTCATCCGTTTCCCTTTAGGGTCCTCACGTTTCGCTAAGACTTGCATCTCTCAACGTGCGCACTTTGCTACAGATTGGCCCGCAGGCAGCACTTGCCCGCACACTAGAGACCCTCTCGATCGATATTTGCTGTTTATCAGAAACTAGCCTGCAAGATTCAAGCTCTGCGCTTACCCTGCCATCCCCCACATGCGACACTGGCAACACATTCTCATTGCGTCTGTCTGGCGATGACGCAGCTTTGAATGCCTGGCAAGATGGCGTCGGTATTGTTTTGAGTCCCCGGGCTAAAGCTGCCCTGATCGATTGGATCCCAGTCAACAGTCGGATGTACACCGTTAGATTAGCTGGTTCGTTCCGTGCTACGAAGTCGCGCGGGGACAAACGGTGCCTGTTTGTCATTGCAGACTACGCCCCTACAAATTGTAGCACTAATTCGATGAAAGATGATTTCTATCAGCAACTTCACGCTCTCCTTCGTTACAGAAGAAGCACGGATACTGTGGTGTTGGTTGGTGATCTAAACGCCCAAGTCGGAAAATTGTCCTCTGATGAGCTTCATCTGCGCGGCCAACCTGGTGTAGGCTCCCGTAATCATAACCGTGAGTGATTGCTACAACTATGTGAAAATGCTCGTCTCTTTTTCGCGAGCACAAACTTTCGATACAACACCCGCAGAAGCGTGACTTGCCGCCCACCAGTCTCGGGCCAGCCATGGACGCAAATCGATCATATCGTGATCAGTTACCGCTAGAAAGGCTGTGTCCAAAACTGTCGCTCGGATTGGAGCACGAGCGTGGACTCTGACTACCCACTTGTCTGCGCCGTCCTCCGGGTGCGTTTCGGTGCACGTCCGCAATGTCGATATGAACAGATTGACACCAGCCAGCTGGCGAAGCCAAATGTTCTGAATTTGTATCAAAGTACGCTGACATCTGGGCTGAGTAAGCGCCCACTGAACACCGTCGAAGATCACTGGCCGCATATTCGTCAGCAGACATGTCTTCCTGTGGCAAATCAAATTGCCAACCTAGATATTGGGTCTTTAAAAAGTCTCTGGTACTTATCGAAGCTCGCAGAGGTATTCCGACTGGAAGCCAACACAATGAGGCTCGCAAAACTCTCAGGGCAAAACCACGTGCTAGCATGAAAAAAGACCGCGAAACCTGTTGGTTTCATCGTTCCTCGGAGATGGAAACAGCCTCTACCGTTGTCATTCATCGTAAGTTATTCACTCTGATACGGGAAACAGGCAGCAGGAGACCTGGTGTTAGTGAGGCCATACGCGACGAGAGTGCGCAGCCGATCCACAGCTTGTCGAAACCCTTTGAGCATTGGGCTGAGCACTTTGCAAGGCAATTTAACCAATCTGAGTTGTCGCTTTCTTTTTTGGGCATTGTGCGCCCTTCTCCGTGGGCCGTCTCCTTGGATCCGCCCTCACGCGCAGAAGTCGAATGTGAGATCAACTTATTGAAATTGCGTAAGGCCGCAGAGACAGATAGAATTCCCCCACCCCTCTTCAAATTCGGGAGACCTGCTCTAGTAAATGATTTACACGAGTTGCTAATGAAACTTTGGAAGCAGTAGACTGTCCCCACCGACTGGAGTCGCTCCGTCATTGTCCCAATTTTCAAGGGAGGCTTCCGTTCGGAATGCGGCAATCATAAAGTAGTCAGTCTGATCTCAATCGCCTCTAAACTGCTTGCGTCTATCATTCTCCACAGACTTACTGGCACTCGTGAAAGCCAGATTCGTGAAGAGCAGGCCGGGTTTCATCGGTGTCGGCGCTGCACCGACCACTTCTTCACTTTGCGTCAATTGTTGGAGCGCTGCCATGTTTATTGGCGACCCACCGTTGTCGTGTTTCTTGCGTTCGACTCAGTCGGTCGATGTGCCGTTTGGGACTGTCTGCTAAGGAAAGGTATGCCTAATAAATACGTAGACATTATCAAAGCGCTGTACGCGGATAGTTCGGGCAGAGTGAGGGTTTATGGCAGACTGTCGCCACCCTTCAGTATCACCAGCTAAGTGAGGCAAGGTTGTCCGCTGTCACCTTTCCTCTTCAACTTCGCTATTGAGGAAGTCATGTGAACAACGTTCGCTGGACACGACCTAGAAGATATGGAGCTACTTCCTGGTGAGCGACTTCTTGACTTGGAGTATATGGACGATATTGTCCTAATCTGTGACAGTTCCCAAATATGTCCAGCAACACTGGACCGGTTAGCACTGGCTGTCAATCGTTTTGGGCTATACTTTGCTCCAACGAAATGCAAAGTACTTCTCCAAGATTGGCAGGGACCCATCATCATCGTCATCAACAGCAGTACATCAGCCATTTGAGCTGATGTTTCGCTACGATACAACCATGAGGACCCATGAAATAAATAATATGAGGGAGAGAAGGGGACTTACTGAAAAACTTAATGCCCTAAGCAAACATTCAGGGTCAGGGCGCCTACACCTTGCGTAGACAACATACTGTCACAAACACCTGACTATCGTGCAAAGGCGGCATCGGCGAGACAGCTTTCTTGCGGCTTTCACTGCACTGACCCTTGGTCGTGATCAGCTAGAAGTCGTTCCGAAATTCAAGTATCTGGGCAGCTATGTTAGCAACGGTGGGATCGAAGATGGGGTTACGAACCGTATAGCTAAAGCTCGAGATGCTTTTGCCAATCTCCGCCACCTGTGGCGCATACGCGACAGTACTCTTGCCCTGAAGGGCAGAGTTTATAACGTAGCCATTCGTTCAACCCTCTTATACGGTTGTGGAACCTGGCCCATCAGGTAGACAGACATACAGTGGCTCGCCATATTCGATCATCGCTGCCTTCGTAGCTTAGCTCATGTCTGGTGGGAGCACTTCGTGAGCAATGAGCGTGTACGACGTCGCGTATTTGGTGCAAGAAGAGCGAGTAAACCGCTCAACACCATATCACGCACCAGGCTCAGATGATTGGGCCACGTGTTGCGCATGCCAGCACACCGACTCCCGCGACGTGCATTGTTTGCGCGTTGTGGGTGCGGTTGGAAGAGGAGAGGAGGCCAAAAGTTGACTTGATTGAGGGAAATGATAATCCTCACTTCGAATTTGGCTTCGTTTGGTGCATCCCGACTGCCTGGTTGGGGTCCTAAGGACGGTGAACACGTTTGGTTGGGCGCATTTACAGATATGGCTAGGAGCCGGCCCTATTGGCATTAGTGTTGTGAGTTCCTTTGTCCATCCGCCTCTTGGTTAACTTCCTATCTCCAATCACGTTCGCATTCGTTAGACATAACTTTTTGCGGCACGATAGCCGACTGTTAGCTCTCCGGAACAATGTCCATCCGTTACTGGGGACTCAGCCGGCGTGCCACAGTTGTATATCTTTCTTCTTCTTGTCCTTAGTATTGCGGCACAATAGCTGAGGTGTTTTCCACCTGCAGCTAACCTGTATAATAATAATAATAATACTAACGCTTACTTCCCAACACCGGGTTCGCCACGACTAAGGTCTCCGGCAACTTATTCCAATATTTCACCACTTGACGCTCGAAGCCTAGAGGGTGAGCGATGCGCTTTAAATCCGGTACACTAGTTTGTGCCAGATTTCATCCCTTCAGATAAACATAGCAGGCATTGAACCGAGGACCGTTGGGATGTTAGTTGTGACCGCTATCTCTAAGCCACCAGGTCACAAATATCATGTGACGCGTTTCGATGTTATTTCTTCTCATCAGACAGGGATAGCAGACATTGAACCCGAGACTATTGGGATGCTAGTTATGACTGTTACCCCTAAGCCCACCATTGTTTAATATGTTTGTTTGATCAAATCTATGGCAGCAATTCAGCTTTGACTGTGTCGCAGTGATGTATTCTGACCAATCTCCTAAGGTTGGTGGTTCTGCCCCAATGCAAGAAAAGTCGGAACGTTTCTGTCACTGTAGTACTCACACACCCTTTGATCCTGAGATTAGACAACTGTTAAGTCTAGTGTTGGCACAGCATCATTGTGTACCCTACCCCTGACCTTTTGCAACCTCCATACACGATCAAGACCTTGACAATGAGCGATGGGCCATTCGTGAATAGAGGAATTAACTTAGTTGAGTAACAAATTCCACACTAACCTGTCGGCGACAACACAGTCTTGAGAATCATGTAAGACTTTTGTGCCGTTAACCGGGCCTGACGATGCATCAATGTCACTAATAAGGGGACTAATAGCACACGGTATAGCCTACTTGCTTTGGTTAGGCTGACAAGACAAATGTTAATTCACCTCTGTCTTGTCACTCGATACCGTCATAAACTTCCATGGTTAGGACGCGTGCGCATGTTTGAACCGACCACCAGCCATCTGCGGCGGCGCCAGCTTCTTAACGCCGTATATAATCACAGCACGCCTTGTAACTGCTTTTAATGGTTCCGCACTAACACAGGCCGAAGTACCATTTGAGCGAACTCTGACTGTATGCTTACCTGATGGCAAAGTGGTATGAGGTTGCTGGTTTGTTTGGTTGCTTGGATTCCAGCGATTTGGGCCATTTGAAATATGTTACCCTTCGGCGTCATCCAAGTTAAATCAGTTGTATTTTCGCATTCCCTGTTTCGGTCTCTATTTGTCAACTCCATTATGATGTCGTCTGAGAGCTTGACTTGACCCACCGCTCTGGCGTAGCGTACAAGTTTGTGATCTCGTTCTTCTGCCGACTGTCTCAAGAATCGTAATTGCTTAGGACTTATGTCCACCATTTGTATCCCAGATGCGTTTGGGTTCCCCTGAGAGTTCTAAAACGGAAAAATGCTCCCATCAGTTACCGTACCTTGCCATTTTAAATATGCACATCAAGAAGCCTACTGGACGTCAGTGTTGGTGAGCGATTAGGTCAAATTTATGTCCAATTGGAACACCACTGGGGCATCTTTCACCTTCCATTTATGGTTAAAATGATGAATCACATCGAAACGTAATTACTTTCTTCTCCTTTGGTAGGCTACTGCCAGTTCATTTTAAGTGACGTTACGGTCGCCTGTTAAATAGCTACCGTTGGTGCAGTTTGGCATCAGCTGTCTGTCCGACTTGAAGCCTGCCACGTTTCCGAACGTATAAAGCCCTATTCCGTTGCTATCATTGCTTTTTAACATCTTCATGACTCAAATAACCATACAATGCTTTGATTGTTTCTGTCGTTCCCTTCTCATCTGTGGCCCTATTTCACCCATTTACTTAGCCGCGTTTCCTCTTTGCTCACTACTAAGCTGACGAGTTATCTTTATTTTTTGGAAACATAATGTCCGCGAAACGACATTTTTCTGAAAACTAGATTTTGTATCGGTATACACTGCACTGTTGTCTCTCAGGTTCATCTGGGCCCACAGCATCAGTCATCTGAACTGATTCCCCGCTGTCGTACAACCACGGTAACCTACGGAACGAAGAATGATATGTGGGATAGAACGGGGACCTAGCGTGAAATCTTAATGTCCCAAACAAACATTCAGCGTCAACGACATACCGCGAGACAGCTTTCTTGCGGCTTTCACTGCTCCGCGTCATAATCAACCATTAACCCGCAGATAATTCAACATCAAACACAATTTAACCAGGCATGATTAGTCATATCGCTCCGATATTCGGTAGGAATGTCATTTTTCACATGATTACCGGTTGTTTGTTGCTCCACATTTTCGCTTTTAGACTCTAAACTGCCTCATTCACACTTATTGTTCCTTACTGCTGGTATTACTCTCTCCCACTTCATAATTGTGGAACAGTGAGGCGTTATCGCAATATCTTATGTATTTCCGTTTCTTTCATTCATGCTGACAGTGAGTGCTTCATTTTTTTTCTTGACGCCTACCTGATACCCAACAGGATTGGATTCTTATTGCCAGAATTTCGCAGTGTATCCATTTGCTTAGTCTTTCTGATGATATTCCTTTAGGATATAATGTTTCTTTGACGCTAAACCCTGAATGCGATGAAAACAACCGATTGGTCTTCGCTCCTCTGTCTCCCTTTCAACCGTGACTATTAGTTGGTATTCGCACACTTGTCAAACGGGCGTCCTTTCTTTACCATAGGTTTGTTGATACAACCCGATCATCTGGGATTTTAATTGCGTTATTTTCGGCACAGTGGATGTCTGCATTTTTAGCGCGGCCGCTTATGTCATCTTGGTCTGCTCTATCTTGCAATACCGATATTTGATGTTGAAATTGACTACTGCTGACCTGTGACTACTCTTTTGAATCGTCACGAATATCGTGACTTGGCTGCCTGCGTCATGTTTATCACAACGGATTTTGCAGACCCCACCAACGAACTAGATGATAATGTTCCTCAGAGTCCACGTTGGACATTTGATGATTGGGCCGGACCGCTGACAACGCAACCCAAGTCGCTAACATACTGTGCTTCACAGGCTTCTTCTCTGTCAATCTGTTCAGAGGGTACCACTCTATACTTTAATGGAATGCAATCGGTCAGTCAAGTACTGTTTCACTCTTCTTTGTTGAGCGCACACTGACCGATACCTTTTTCATTCCGATAAACCGAATGTTCGTGCTCTGTCATTGCTCCAGTGCCCACTCAATTCATTTGCTGGAGTTTACCGTGTGTGTCACATATAACGTAAGGTCTGGGATTGTGTACTACATAACACATTCTCTTAACACCGTTTGAATATACCTTAATAGCTATCGCAGAAACGACACTGGGGTTACTGGTGAAGATCTACACCCGTGTTGTCCACTTATCCCCTGATGCATATCCTCCACTGTTTTGTTTTACTCATATTGGATTTATTGTCTGCGACGAATCTTCTTAGACAACAAAGTGAATTCTTACTACTAACTAATAATCAACAGCTCGCTTGCTGCCTCGACAGGTGGCGGCTTGCGAAATACGTCGTAGCACTTGGAACCAGCACTATCCTTTACACATTCATAGCACGAATAATAGTGGGGGATGAGCCGCGCGATATCGCAGTTGGATATCGGTCATTGCCGTCCGCCGCCGTCATCCATGGCTCAGTGGCACAAGTCGCTTATTCATAAGAATAAGGTCATGGGTTCGAATTCGGTGGATGCGTGTTACTGACAAGTCCCAATAAGGCGAAACGGCCGTGTAACGTTTTCCTGGATGTGTGGCAGCTGTTTAACTATGTCCGATTGTGACGAATCGTATCCGATTCTTATTGCTACTTAGAGGCAGCTAGCCTTTTTCGTCCTCCTGAAATGTGCTTGCACTGTTCACTTCACATGTTGCCTCTTACACTTCGGTACTGAGCTGAGTAGTCAGATTGCAGATATCACGTCGTCAAGGTGACATCCTCACCGCGTGACGGTAGCTGGCTCCGCTGAAACGAATACTGGTCTTCGGACAAATCCAGAGACAGCCTTCGTACCGATACTACTTTTCTGCACTATTCTTTATGTGGCGCCCTTGCTTCTCTGTTGTTTGGGGTATGTTACTTGTATGTTACACGATAGTGAATGCGGCTACTCTGATACCCCACCCCAGTATTTGCAAACTTGTTCTTGTGAATGCTATGTTGCTTTATTTCTCTCGCTGGGCGCCTTGATATTGGCCTGCCATCCATGGTTTTGGGCACGCAAAAAGTACGTCAGCTCCCTGTATCGATTCTTCTACTATACAACGACACGTAGGCTGGGATACTACTGGGACCCCTGAGCCTACGCTGTGACACGGATTCGCACTGAGATTTGGCACGTAGCCATTAATATTGCTTTCATTAACTGAAACCCGTTCACTAACCCTGGTTGTACGACTACAACCGTTCCACTGCGTTATCTCAAGTGGTTCTACTATGTGTTTCAGACGCCTCTATTTCTCTTTCCGGTCCGTGTATTTTCTCTGCAACATTGCTCGAAAGTCAGCTTAGATCAGTGTCCAGGGGAGGACGCAACTAGCCTCCATTAGTTTGTCTCAATTGTGTGGTTGAGACCTTTGGGTACATCGGGCAACGTGATCAATTTCCTAGCTAGGTGAGCTTTTTTTCTCTCGTCGTGTATGCATTCCTTTTTTGCTAGTTCTTACGTCAATTGAAATTTTCCTTCTGAAGCCAGTGCTCCGAGATTCTATCAAATGAATAACCTCTCGCTTTCCTGACTTAACAGTGTGTTCATGGACTGGGGTCGATCAAATGTTACTTGAAACTCTGGGTTTGATTGCAACTACTTGAGTCGACTGGCGAGGGAAATACTTTCCTTTGTTTTGGATGTATTCGTCGTTTCGAAGGTTTCAGGCATGAAACTCATACGCCACACGCACGTTTGGTCCTCATATCGTCACACCACCCCATCACTCACGAGCTGCAATTCAGGGCTACTCACATATCTCAGTGATTTCTGTGCTACTTAGATGTAATCAAATTCGTTTCAGCCAGAAGAGTAAGCAAACGGAACTATACTGGTGATAACGCTTCTCATTGGAGTACTTCTCTTCTGTCCGATCTGATTTTGAGCCAATGTGTGTGGATCAGCTACAAGTGATTGGTCACGAATCAACTTGGCCACTGTAAGCTCCTTTTGTCTATGTGACCCGGTCTCTCGGTGCACTGATTTACGAGGTTATAAATCCGGACGAATAGACCCGGCTAGTCAAGCACATGCATTCTAGTGCGCTGTCATGCTCAATTATGTTGGCGTGCTGCTTACGTAAAGTACACGGTTAGACTTAGTACCCTAATCCGTTTGCCCCAAATAACGACGTTTTAGCGAAAATCGCTTTCCTCTGACTAGTTTCTACCTGTAGTATAGCATGTCACCGGCAAAATGCCAACTGGGGCGTGGAAGTTCGGATGAAACTTTTCGTGAGAATACCCCACATGAAAACAAGTTTTCAGGAGACGGTTCTACAGATAGTCGTATAACTTTATTTGAACTTTTTGCAATAACTACTTTCAGTCTACTCTCAACTCCATCTAACCTATTCAACTGATCGCGCACCCCGAAAGTTTATTCTGGAACTGTTTCGGAAAACTTGAACAAATATCTATTTTTTCGATCCTGTTGTACCATATGATCAGCTCATTTATTTGTCATGTATCTAGCACAGTCGATAAATGCACAATTTATACTGTGATCAGCCCAATGACTGCATTCCGGTGTGTGTTTCTTTCACAGATTGGCTGAACAACAATTGTATTGTTTTGGCTTCTTTTTGACCCAACGAGTTGTCTCTTTCGTTCTACGTGACTGCCCATGTCGATCAGTTATGAGGTAGCACGGATTCGAGTTACTAAAGAGCAGTTTGTCTACTTAACTTGCTTCCTATCCTAATGACCACAGTGTTTGTCTCCTGTCTGATGGTACATACGGACATACTGACCAGACCATTCCGTGTTTGCAACACGGACTACCCCGGTATCTCGTACTTAGCATACTTCTCTTCAATCGTTTGCAACATCTGCGCATACCTTGGTACCACCCTCCGGTTTTGTCTATCCAACTAAATGTTTGCAAAAGTTCCTTTGCCTTAACTTTGTTGAGACATACATTTTGCCTCAGAAACGAGACCAACCGGGAAGCACTGTCGGCCACATTCTAAAGAATGTTACTTTTATATGCCCAACATGGAATCGCTGGTAGTATTCCTACCAGCAACATTAATCGGTACACCATTGGTTGTTGCTAGCCGACGTAAAGGATTGAATAACGAAATCGTTTATACTGTTCAAATGTCAACTACTGTAACACTCTGTTCATGCTAATAACTGCCTGCTACCGCATCTTTCATTGAACTGATAAATCTCAGAATTTCTGCCTCTTTGGTCATACGAATTGATTGCCATTGCTTTTGTATTTTCTTTTCCAACTTCCAATTTGCTCACAGTCCTTCCGCAATGCCCGATGTTTGTTGATTTATGCATTACGCGACATAAATTTGTGTTTCCATTGTTTCACATTACATGTACCTGGTGCTGGAAACTTGTAATATGGGCTAGACATCCGCAGATTCTGACCCCTCCTGTACGCACTTTGAGCTTGCAATGAGTCGAAAAATTTCAAGAACTTGTTGCGTGGCGAATTCGCAGTGATTACGAGTGGAGGATTTCTGATGTAATTGTTTTGCGGGTTATTCTCAAAAGGCCGCAGCTTATGATAATCAGCTGTCATCACCCATGACCTAATGGGAGAACTTGCTAAAGTCTACGGGTCACGAATTCGGTTTCTAGTGAAGTCGAGGAATGCGCACTCTGGACTAGTCGCAATAGGGTGGAACGGCTATCCACTGCCTTTCCAGGTATGGCGGCTATTTGTGTTGATAACTACTACAAAGATTCCATTATAGAATTTACAGCAGCTGCATGTTATCAACTCACTAAAAAGACGTTTGCATTCAACTTACCTCTGAATTGCTTGCATTCTTTGAGTACAGACTCAGGTGCAGATGAAGTATCTCCGTCTGTCGTTTCAAGATAGCACGTCCAATCTGGATAGACATCATGGCATCTGCTGGTGAACAGTACAGGGTTAATGTAATTTTTTGATGTAAATTTTGTGTGAGACAGTAGTCACCTAGCAAAACTAAGGGAAAAGTGTGGTCAACACTCGTGTAATGTCTACTGATTAACTATTTGTTCCTGAAGTATTGTCTATATCACCGGGGGAATGTGAACCCGTATTTGTGACATCTTGACTAGACTCACTTTCTAGCCGGTCAGATATACGGCTTTTGTTACGTTGCCTCCCAACAATGCGTCGGTCGAACCTACTCCTGAAACTGCCATCCGTGTTCTTTGACATACAAAATAGTAGGAACTTTGTTTTCTGTCTAGTTAACTACCGTGCACCCCGTTTTGCTTTGCGACAACTTTAACGAATTTAGAGTCAATTCACGCTGAACTCAATCGGTTGTTTGTGCTTCGGCGTCGAGTAACTTCATCGAGGTTGGTATCCAAGCCGGTGCACGTTTGGTGAGACCAGTATCCCTACATGCGCATGTGAGCATTCAGTCTCCCCATTTCGTGGTATTTTCGATCTCTCGCAGAAATACGAAGAGCAAAAATAGTGCAGTATACGTTAATTTAATATTGCATAACATAATGCATCAGTAGTACCATCGGCTATAACCCAGAAGTCGTTTTTTCAATAAACTCATACATCTAATTGGCGTGAGTGACCTCTGGACTATCACCGAGTGACCAAATTATATGTTCCTAGTTGTCCCAGTCAGACAAATTTCGAACACTTAAAGGCCACTCAATAACTTTTCAAATATAGCCTTACCCATGCAATACAGCGTTATAATCACCAGTGAATCGGTTTGCGCTACGCATGGATATTATTCGCGATCAGGAAAAATACGTTCGCCACATGTGCTAGGACTATTTTTGAACACGGTTTTATGCGTGATTGAATGCTATCCAAAGTTTGTGTTATTGGGACGGTCAGAGGTATACAATTTGATCACTCCTACATGCACCGATCGGTCACTCGTACTGAATGGGTACTTCCAATCTCTCTGCTTTTACAACCCGCAGAACAACATGAGGAAACGATGCTTATGAAGTGAACACAAGTACTCTAAGTTTTTTTTATGTTTTAGCCTTCTACTCATCCTTACCAACGAGATTAACGAATGACGATTGGCAGCTCTTGTGATGGGGGCTGTAAATGCTGTGGTGCTAAGATGCCACACTTAGATACCAGTTGTTTCGCCATCGATCGAGCTAAACGATTTCGGACCAACACTCTGAAGGATGGTCGATCGCTACAAGAGGCGAATTGAAGGGTAGTATGCAATCTATTTTGATCGACATGAACGAAGCTCGCACATTGGCCGAGAGTGTAATAGCATGGAGATGTGTTCTACATCAGTGAGTCGTTCTAACTGATTCGAGATATAAAATGAGCTTGTGTTCTATGAATAATAGATCTCTGATCGAGACCCAGACTTTGATTTTTTTTGCTTCACGGTGGGTCACTGGACAGCTCTGCAAGCTCTTTTTGTGCTGTGTGATCCCACTTCTGACATTGAAATTAACAAATGTACTATCTTTCAAACTCGGGTAGCTGATGTGACTTCGTGAGGCCATGTGACCACCCTGATATCCAAACGATGGTCTAGTTTTACTGATGTTAATGATGAAATTGACTGTCTGACGTCAAGATTCCAATTCGCGAGGATATGAGTTATGTTCGACTACAAATCCAAGAGAATGGTCTGGTACCATCTATTAGCTACATCATTCTGTAAGTGGGGTATTTGGGTTATCTCTTGATTTGATGGTCAGCGATGACGTGCCAATTGAATTTGTGTGCTGACAAGTCACGTCGACACAGCCGTTTGAAGCACAATAAAGTTATTTAAAAAATTATTCAAATCACTTACAGCATTTTCGTGTCCTAAACAACACTGTTCCGTTTAAACACTTTGTTATCGGCACTCCTTGAGCAGTTTGCTCTTGGACAAAAACGATTTCAATTTCATTGGCAGAAACAACATTAAACACGATCGTGGCTCCAATAACCATGAAATTAGATAGCATGTAACGAAGGAAATAAAGGGAAACAAATTAACAGAAGCACTCACAAGAAACGAAGTCATAATAGGAGTGTATAATCTTGGTAAGCTAGGAATGGCAAAAACAGTAAAACCTCCGTAACTTGACCACTCCAAGGGACTGGACCGAAGTGACAAAGATACCTCCATAAGGTTTGCGTTCTGGACCTTCAAGCAGTGGAAAACACCCAGCTTAGGGAGGTAATCAATTACGGAAATTTCACTGTATAAGCAACTGGGCGTAAGAGAGCCGCCAGTGTATTGACCGAACCATCCCTGCGAATCTTCATGTCGCATAACATAATGTTTGGACATCCAGATTTGAGTGACTGAATCAGATCATGGTTCTCAAGTTTATTCCTCCGCTTCGGCAGCACCCCATCGCAATGAGGCTGGACCTTACCGTGGTGCGATGGTTTGCGTGCCTCAGCGATCCAATGAGCTATGCTGGGTGGTGCTTTTTTTGCACCTTCAGAGCCAGATTGGTCAATGGTTAGAGGCCAGACAAACTCACCCTCCTGGTCCTCCAGGTTGGGAGTTGGAATGGGCGTGGCTCCACATTTCATAAAACGGGCTCTGTAGTCCAGTGCCAAAACCCACTGCCTTGCGGTAAGGTTTTTGAACCAAAGGTTTGGATGAGAACCCTAATCGTTCTCCTGTCTAGGCCTGGGTAACCTGACAGTATTCTGCCCACGCAATACAATGAACCTTTTCTATAACAATTTCTTGATGCTGTGGCCGTCGCAGAGGATAATAAACGGCACCCTATCTACTGCATCGCGCAGGGTGGATAGGGGTATGGATGCTACTGCTCAGGCCTTCCCGTCTTCTTATACCCCTTCTTGCGCTTCTTCATCCTTATCGTCCCGCTCCAACTTTACTTATATCCCCCCATTTTTCAATCCCCCAATTCTTGGCCATCCCCCAGCTTACTTCAATAGTCGCTTGTCTTCTAATTTCAAATCACACAATCGCAGGGCCTCGCTCCAATCCAGTCGTCAAGTCTGTGTTCAACCAAACGGACAACGTAGTTCGCGCAGGGTGGATAGAGGTATGGATGCTACTGCTCAGGCCTTCCCGTCTTCTTATACCCCTTCTTGCGCTTCTTCATCCTTATCGTCCCGCTCCAACTTTACTTATATCCCCCCATTTTTCAATCCCCCAATTCTTGGCCATCCCCCAGCTTACTTCAATAGTCGCTTGTCTTCTAATTTCAAATCACACAATCGCAGGGCCTCGCTCCAATCCAGTCGTCAAGTCTGTGTTCAACCAAACGGACAACGTAGTTCATCCGTTTCCGTTTGGAGTCCTCGTGTCTCGCTAAAACTGGCATGCCTCAACGTGCGCACTTTGCTGCAGGTTGGCCAGCAGGCAGCACTTACCCGCACACTAGAGACCTTATCGATCGATGTTTGTTGTTTACCAGAAACCCGCCTGCAAGATTTGCGCTCCGTGCTTACCTTGCGATCCCCCACATGCAACACTGGCGGGACATTCTCATTGCGCCTGTCTGGCGATGATGCAGCTTTGAATGCCTGCCAATATGGCGTCGGTATTGTTTTGAGTCCCCAGGCTGAAGCTGCCCTGATTGATCGGATTCCAGTAACCAGTAGGATGTGCGCCGTTAGATTAGCTGGTTCGTTCCATGCTAGAAAATCGCGCGGGGACAAACGGTGCCTGTTTGTCATTGCAGTCTACGCCCCTACAAACTGTAGCACTGATTCGGTAAAAGATGATTTCTATCTGCAACTTCACGAGCTCATTCGTTACAGAAGAAGCACGGATACTGTGGTGTTGGCTGGCGATCTAAACGCCCAATTCGGAAAATTGTCCTCTGATGAGCTTCATTTGGGCGGCCAACCTGGTGTAGGCTCCCGTATTGATAATGGTGAGCGATTTCTACAGCTGTGTGAAGATGCTTATCTCTTTCTCGCGAGCACTAATTTTCGACACAGCACCCGCAGAAGTGTGACTTGGCGGCCACCAGCTTCGGGCCAGCGATGGACGCAAATCGATCATATCTTGATCAGTTACCGCTGGAGAGGCTGTGTCCGAAATCGTCGCTCGATTGGTAGCACAGGCATGGATTCTGACCACGCACGTGTCTGCGTCGTTCTCCGTGTGCGTTTCGGTGGACGTCCGTAATGTCGATGTGAGTGGATTGTCACCAGCCAGCTGACGAAGCCAGATGTTCTGAATGTGTACCAAAGTGCGCTGATATCTGGGCTGAGTAAGCGCCGACTAAACACCGTTGAGGATCACTGGTCGCATATTCATCAAGCGTTGCTGTTAGCAGCCATGTCTTCATGTGGCAAAGCAAATTGCCAAACCGGACGTTGGGTCTCTACACAGTCTCTGGGACTTATGGATGCTCGCCGGCGTATTCCGGCTGGAAGCGAATACAATGAGGCTCGCAAAACTCTCAGGACAAAACTACGTGCTGGCATGAAAAGAAGGCCACGAAACCTGGTGGTCTCATCGTGCCTCGGAGATGGAAGCAGCCGCTACCGTTGGTAATCATCGTAAGTTATTCAGTCTGATACGGGAAACAGGCAGCAGGAGACCTGGTGTTAGCGAGAGCATACGCGACGAGAGTGAGCAGCCGATCCACAGCTTGTCAAAACGCTTGGAGCGTTGGGCTGAGCACTTTACAAGGCAATTTAACCAATCTGCGTTATCGCTTTCTTTTTCGGGCACTGAGCGCCCTTCTCCGTGGGCCGTTTCCTTGGATCCGCCCTCACTCGCAGAAGTCGAATGTGAGATCAGGCTGTTGAAATTGCATAAGGCCACAGAGGCAGATAGAATTCCCCCACCCCTCTTCAAATTCGGGAGATCTGTTGTAGTAAATGATTTACACGAGTTGCTAATGAAACTTTGGAATCAGTAGACTGTCCCCACAGACTGGAGTCGCTCCGTCATTGTCCCAATTTTCAAGGGAG